CTGTTTGCTGTCCCAGCTGGGCTCCCGGCATGCCCCTTCCTCTGCCCTGGCTCCAGCCCCATCAGATCTGAGGACGACTCCCTGCTCAGGATGTGGGGCTTGTCAGGCACTCAGGCCTGGGGAGGAGGGGACGGAGATTGGGACAGACAGCCACTGTTCTGTGAGGGGGAAGTGACTTCCATCCCCCAGTTTCTCAGGGAGCGTCCTGGGGACAGCAGGGGCTCCCAGGGGTACCTCTCGCCCACCTCAACCTGGCCTGGGGGCTCACCATGACTTGCCCTTCAGTCGTCTTGCAGAGAAGGGACCTCTGTGAGGGGTGAATCAGCCCCTTCTCTGTGGCATTACGGAGGACCCCGAGAGGGAAGGGGCTGAGCAGCTTTGCCTGGACTACCCACAGCTGCCGCTGGAGCCCTGTGGGCCTGTGCTGCCCGGCTGGCAGGGAAGCCCAGTGGTGCTGGGCCCGTGCTGGTGTTTGCAAAAAGAACCCAGCCCGCCCAGGGGCCCTGGTCCTTTCTCCCACCCCTACTCCATTCCCTGACTAGTGAGGCCCACCTCTGACCTTGGGCTTCTCTAACCGGCTTCCTGGACAACTGGCTAGCCAGAAGGTGTTCCCTAAGCCCCTGGGGCCTGGGACTTGAGCTCTGCCCTGCAGCCAGCTCCCTGGGCGTGCCTGCCATGAGGGAAAGAGCAAGGGAGCCCCGTGCCAGCCAGGCTGTGGGGCCTGGGAGGGGTGCAGGGCTCCTCTTTACTGCAGCTTCCTGTGGTCTTGGGGGGTCTTGGGGGACCCAGTCTCTGGGAGGATACCTCCCTCTCTGGTGGTCCTGGTCTTGGGGCTTATGCGCTGACAGTGTGGACCCTGGCTCTGTGTCCAGCTGGTCCTGGTGTAGCACTCTGTGTCCCCCAGGTCTTCAGCAGATGTGAGAGGTGGCCTGGGGGGGGCAGGGGTGAGAGGTGGCCTGGGGGGGCAGGGGTGAGAGGTGGCCTGGGGGGGGCAGGGGGTGAGAGGTGGCCTGGGGGGGCAGGGGGTGAGAGGTGGCCTGGGGGGGCAGGGGGGGAGAGGTGGCCCGGGGGGGGCAGGGGGTGAGAGGTGGCCTGGGGGGGGGCAGGGGGTGAGAGGTGGCCTGGGGGGGGCAGGGGGTGAGAGGTGGCCTGGGGGGGGCAGGGGGTGAGAGGTGGCCTGGGGGGGGCAGGGGGTGAGAGGTGGCCTGGGGGGGGGCAGGGGTGAGAGGTGGCCTGGGGGGGGCAGGGGTGAGAGGTGGCCTGGGGGGGGCAGGGGTGAGAGGTGGCCTGGGGGGGGCAGGGGTGGGAGGGGGCCTGGGGGGTGGCAGGGGGGGAGAGGTGGCCTGGGGGGGGCAGGGGTGAGAGGTGGCCTGGGGGGGGCAGGGGTGAGAGGTGGCCTGGGGGGGCAGGGGTGAGAGGTGGCCTGGGGGGGGCAGGGGGTGAGAGGTGGCCTGGGGGGGGCAGGGGGTGAGAGGTGGCCTGGGGGGGGCAGGGGGTGAGAGGTGGCCTGGGGGGGGCAGGGGTGAGAGCTGGCCTGGGGGGTGGCAGGGGGTGAGAGGTGGCCTGGGGGGGGCAGGGGTGAGAGGTGGCCTGGGGAGGGGCAGGGGTGAGAGGTGGCCTGGGGGGGGCAGGGGTGAGAGGTGGCCTGGGGGGGGCAGGGGTGAGAGGTGGCCTGGGGGGGCAGGGGTGAGAGGTGGCCTGGGGGGGGCAGGGGGTGAGAGGTGGCCTGGGGGGGGCAGGGGGTGAGAGGTGGCCTGGGGGGGGAGGGGGTGAGAGGTGGCCGGGGGGGCAGGGGGTGAGAGGTGGCCTGGGGGGGGCGGGGGTGAGAGGTGGCCTGGGGGGGGCAGGGGTGAGAGCTGGCCTGGGGGGTGGCAGGGGGTGAGAGGTGGCCTGGGGGGGGCAGGGGTGAGAGGTGGCCTGGGGAGGGGCAGGGGGTGAGAGGTGGCCTGGGGGGGGCAGGGGTGAGAGGTGGCCTGGGGGGGGCAGGGGTGAGAGGTGGCCTGGGGGGGGCAGGGGTGAGAGGTGGCCTGGGGGGGCAGGGGTGAGAGGTGGCCTGGGGGGTCAGGGGGTGAGAGGTGGCCTGGGGGGGGCAGGGGTGAGAGGTGGCCTGGGGGGTGGCAGGGGGTGAGAGGTGGCCTGGGGGGGGCAGGGGGTGAGAGGTGGCCTAGGGGGAGCCAGTGGGGTACAGCTTTCCAGGCCGCAGTCAGTTGCTTGGGCTGAGGAAAGACTTGGGTTCCCTTGGGCTGGGCAGGGGTTGCCTCTCGGGACCCCCGGAGTCTGGGTGGGCTCAGCAACCGAAGGGCCTCCATCTCCTGGAACGAGGCCCCCGAGGCCCCCGTGACAAAAGGAAGGGAAGGGGGCAGGGGTGGGGTAAGCAGCCCTCTCACTGCCCCCCCCCCCGCTGAGCCAGGAGAGGACTGCCCTCTTCTGAGGCCCCTGGAGGACCTGGGGAGGAAGAAGGGCCCAAATCGGGGGGTAGTGGGGCAGGGGGCTGGGGTCACTTCCCCTTGCCCCCCCCAGAAGCCCCACCTCAGTGGCCAAATGCATGTCATGCTGACCACTGACCTCAAGGGGGCGCAGGAGACAACAAAATATCTTCCTGTTAGGGAGGCAGTCTGGCTGTGGCTGAACCTCCAGGGTGAGCCGGCTCAGCGGGGCTCCCCATCCCACTCACACTCCCCACAGCCCTGCCCAGGCCCACCGGCCACCTTGGCTCCCTGGCCCCTGAGCAGCTCCTGATAAGCATCCCCACCCTTTCAGCCACTCTGGCCTCTGGCCTCAGCCTTCTCCCAGTCCCCTCCCCTCCCCTCCCCTCCCCTCCCCCTCCCCTTCCTCCTCCCCCTCCCCTCCCCCTCCCCTCCCTGGCTGGTCTCCCTTGCACTCTCCTCTCTGGGCCTTGGAGGGGATGATCCTCAGCCCACCTAGACTAGGGCAGGCAGCCCTGGCCAGTCTGTGCATTTGGAGGAAGTTCCAGGGCAACTGCTCTGGGGTGGACCTGGGTGTGGGAAGGAGGGACTTACATCTGAGGCTCAAGGGACTTTACTTAGTTAGGTCCCAGGCAACAAAGGGCAGCAGGTAGCTTCAGGAAAGGCCTGGAAGGGAGGCAAGGCCACTGCCCAGGAGCCTGGGAAGGGGACAGAGGATGCCAGGTGGAGCCAGGAGATGAGGGACATGGAGTGGGGGGTAGGACACTGAATAACAGAGGCAAATGGGGGTGCAGACAGGCAGGTGGCAGCCCAAGGTCCTGGGCAGGAGGGTTCCAGGGACATTAGGAGGTAGAATGGGGGCAAGGAGGCCCGGCATTAGGCAGGAGCATTAGCAGAGATGGGCTTTTCAGAGGAGGCTGAGGGCAGCTGTCCAGGAATAGCTAGAGAAGTCCTCCTGGGTCTGTGGCTGATGGGTGCAAGGAGCACAGAAAGACCTCCAGCCTCCCCCTCCAGTACTAGGGAGCCACGGAAGATGGCTGAGCAAGGGCCACCCAGCTAGGAGCTGCCTGGGAAGGTGAAAGTTCACTCCAGGGCATCTGTCCCACCAGTCACCAGGAAAGGGTCCCAGGGCACACTCTCCAGGCTGGCCTGTCCAGGTGGGAGCCAGCTCACCCACCACCACTGACCCTGTCACTCATACTGACCTTGGTGCATCCTTCTGCAGGAAACTTCCTGAGACTCTAGGCAAATGTCCCTTCCTCTGGACTGGCAGCATTCCCCAGGGGACCCCCCCCCCCCCAGGAGGCTGCAAACACACCAGGGACCAGGGAGGACTGGGCTGCCTTGGATGGGTCAGTATGGTAGGCCTTTTTTCCCTTCCAGCCTGGGTGCTGGGATTCACTCTGGTGGGAGGTGAAGGGGTAAGAAGTAGGGAGCGGACTCAGGTGCCAAAGTTGCAAATGTGTTAAGGGAAGAGTTGAATAGAAAGTCCTTTGCATTTGATAAAGTTGAGGTTCTTTTCTCCTGGCACTGGGGAGCCATGGAAGGTGGCACAGAAGAGCAGGAGCAACACTGCAAGCAGGGAGCCCATTGGAGGAACTTGTGGGACCAGAGATGGTCAGCCTTAGGGCTTGGCCCACCCACCCCCATGGAGGACTCAGATTCCCCCACCAGCCTACTCTGACCAGCTTCCTCCCCTTCTCAAAAGGACTGCCCTAAGCAGATGTGGCCTAGCTGGTCGGTGGAGCCCACCTCAACATGGTGCTCCAGCCTTTGCCATTGCACCAGGAACCCCGGGGGAGAAAAGCCCAGGCTGAGGGCTCCAGTGGACAGAGATCTCTGGATGGGTCCAGCCCTGCCCCCAGGTGCCTCTCCCTCCCGGCCTCAGTTTCCCGCGTGCTCCGGCTCTTGGCCTGCCAGGAGGCACTGGCCTATGGTCTCAGCACCGCACGGGCGGCGGGAGTGTCCCCGACATGTGGGGCTCCTGGGGTCCTCAGCCTGGGCGTGTGCTCTTCTCTGAGTGGATCGGTCAGCAAGCCCAGTGTGGGCAGTAGGACTGCGGGGTCCAGGCCTCATCTCGGGGGTTTCCCGTGGGGAGGGGCAAGGGCCAGGACCGGGGCCTGGTGGCTGGAGCAGGAGGGGCCGGCAGAGGCACGGTGAGCAGACTTGGCAGGCTTCCCTGCTGGCCACCCGGCCGGGGCTGGGACAGGGGCCGTTTCGTGGAAGAGGATCGAAGCCGCCCTGTGGGGTTTGTTTGCCTCTGACCTTTGCCTTGGCTTGTGCAAGGCCCTCTCGGTGGCCTTCACCTTTGCCTGGGGGACATGGCTCACAGGAGACCCTGCTGCAGTGGCCAGAGCAGCTGGGGGGGCACTCTGAGCCCCTCGCTGGGCTGTGGCGGGGGAGGCGGCAGGGCAGCCGCCACCTGCCACTGTCAGTCAGCCCAGCGGGCCCAGCGGGGTGGGTAGCGCGGGGCGGGGCGCCAGCAGGCCTGGGTGGATTTCCTGGCCCCATGAGCTCCTGGGGCCTGGCCCTGCGTGTCTGTGGGCTGGGTGGGGAGGTGTGCCCGAGGTCAGGGCCAGGCGGAGACACGCAGGCCGGCGTATGTCGGTGCCACTGAAGGAGGGCCAGTGAGGGTCCTCTGCTGGCTAACGCAGGCTCCATCAGGTCCGCATCCTCCTCTGGCAGGACTGGGCGGTGGAAGACGCAGAGGCTCTGGGAGCCAGCTAGAGACCCAAGGTGAGGGCGAGGCCCAGAGGGGGCGGCGAGGCAGCCCGTGGCTCAGGGTCAGGAGTGGTGGGGCCCAGGGCTCCAGAGAGGCCATCTTGGGAGAAGGCCTGGGACACTGGGTCATCTGGAAGGTCCTCTTGGGAGGCCACCTGTGGCAGCATGTCAATCCCAGGCTTCTCTGGGGGCTCCTTCTGTGCCAGGGCAGCCTGAAGGCCCCTGGAGGCCTTGCAGTTTCCACCAAGGCCACCAGGTTGAGGCCCAGATTCTTGGCCTCCCCGCCCCTGGCCTGCTGCTTCCTTGGCACTCTTGGGCAGGCATGGGCCATTCTCTGGGGATGTCCCTGAGTTGCCCGTCACCCCTGAGAGGTGGCAGGTGTGGCCCCTGAACAAGGGGGAAACTGAGACTTCCCTCACTCACGGCCCACAGATGCACCAGTCCTTGGGACAGCATGTGACACACAGTGAGTGCATAGCCATAAAGTGGGAAGCTGTGAGAGCCCAGGAGACACTCAGATGCCAGCAAGGCCCAGCACGGAGCCTGGCCCAAGGGGTAAGTGAGTCCCCAGCAGCACGTGGCAAGGCTCCTGTCACTGCCCCCGAGCACTGTCTGCACTGCATGTGTCCCCAGGGCACCCAGCACAACCTAGGGCCTGACAGCGGGTGGCACAGTGCTTGCCCTATAATGTGTGTCCTCAACTGCAGGAGAGGTGGCTACTGCAGGGCAGGACACAGGAGGGACCCGGCCACACTCACACCCCACTCCACTGACCACACTCCAAATCACACATCGCACACTGCAGTGTCCTTGCTATGAAGGCCCCAGCCTCCACCTCCACCCCCACACTCCACCCCCATGGTCTACACTCCATCTGCCATGGTCTACACTCCATCCGCCATGGTCTACACTCCATCCACCATGGTCTACATTCCAACCTTCATGGTCTACACTCCACCTCCATGATCTACACTTCATCTCCATGGTCTACACTCCATCCACCATGGTCTACACTCCATCTCCATGGTCTACACTCCACCTCCATGATCTACACTCCATCTCCATGTTCTACACTCCATCCACCATTGTCTACACTCCATCCACCATGGTCTACACTCCATCCACCATGGTCTACACTCCACCTCCATGGTCTACACTCCATCTCCATGGTCTACACTCCATCCACCATGTTCTACACTCCAACCTCCATGGTCTACACTCCACCCCCATGCCCACACTCCACCCTTCATGTCCACACTCCATCCATCACTCTCCATACTCCATTCTCTCCACTCCACTCTCCAGATTCCACACTTGTTGTCCGTGCTCCACACTCAGCCCTCCAACCACATGACATCCTCAAAGTCCCACACCTGTCATTCAGATCCACACCCTCTCCATGCCACATACCTGATTCTCCAGGCTCCACACTCCATTTCCAGGCTCCAAACTTCCTCCAGTAGGGTCCGCACTCTGTCCTCCATGCTCCAAGGACACCTTGGGCCCCACACTCTGTCCTCCATGCCTACCCTCAATCTGCAGGCTCCACACGCAGTCCTCCATGTCCTACACTCCGGCCTACAGGTTTCTCACTCACCTCGAGGCCCCACAATCCATCCTTCAGCCTCAAACTCTGTCCTCTGTACTCCACAATCTACCTTCAATGTCTGACATTCCCATCTCCAGGTTCCGCACTCTCCTTCCTGCCCGACTCTCCATCCACAATCCCTAGGCTTCCCTTCCACAATCCACAATGCATGGTCCCTGCTCTGCACTCCATCGTCCGTCCTCTCCACTCTGTTCTCCAGGTTCTGCACGACATCTACCAGGCTCCAAATTGCTTCCTCCCTGCTCCGCACACCGTCTTCTGTGCCTCCCACTCCACCCTCCAGGCTCCACACCCCACATTCCAGGCTCCACTCTGGCCTCCAGGCTTCACCCTCATCCTCTATGTCCACCCTCTTTCTTTAGGTTCCACACGCTGTCTTCCATGCCGCATCCTCCGTTTTCCATGCCCCCCACTCCACCCTCCAGGCTGCACACTCTATCCTTAGTGCTACACCCCCCACTCGATCTCTAGGCTCCACCCTGCACCCTCCATGCTCCATACTCAATCCTCCACGATCCACACTCTGGCCTCCAGGTTTCTCCCCGTCCTCCATGCCCCCTGCTCCTTCCTTCAGTCTCCACTGCATTCCCAGGCTCAAAGCTCCATCCTCCAGCTCCCACACCCTCCTCCATGCCTCATGGTACGTCCTTCAGTCCCGAAATTCTTTTTGATCATCTCAGAACACATCCTGCCTGCTCCACATTCTGTCTTCCACCCTCACCTCTCCACACCCCACACTCCACCCTCAGGTTCCTCTCAGTCCTCAGTGTCCCACACTCTGTCCTCCACGCTCCGCACTCTCTGTATCCCCGATCCCTCTGTCAGTCTCCATCCTCCATTCTCTCCACCCCACGCCCCACACTCCACCCTCCATGCCCACTCTCTGTCCCGGGCTGCTTGCTCTTTTTACCCTTCATGCTCCACACTTTCCTGCCTGCTGCACACTCCCACATTTCATTCCCCACCTCACCTGCACCCTGAATCACCCACACTCCACCCTCCTGCTCCACACTCCATCCTCCAGACCCTACACTCCCTCCTGGAGGCCCAACACTCTCCTCCATGCTCCACTCGGTCTTCCATGATCCACGCTCTGGCCTCCAGGTTTCTCCCATCCTCCATGCCCCAGTTCATCTTCAGCCTCCTCATTCTGTCCTCCAGACGCCACCATCCGTCTTCCACACACCACACTCTGTCTTGAGGCCCACACCCCTCCTCTATCCCAAGACATTTCCTCCATGGCCTGCACGCCACCCTCCACACTGCACATCTCACCCTCCGTGTCCACACTCTTCCCCAGGTTCCTCACCTACTCCACGCTCCATCCTGCAGCCTCCGCACTCCATCTTCCGTGCTCCAGGCTTTGAGATTCATCTTTCATCCTCTCCACCCTTTCTCCAGGTCCCACCACTCTGTCCCTCAGGCTTCTGCGATCCACACTTCCTCCTCCATTTCCCAGGCTCCACCCTGCAGCCTCCACCCTTTGTTTTCTAGGCTCAGAACTCCCTCCTCCCAGTCCGCACCTTCCTCGTGCCTTATGCTCCCTCCTCCAGGCCCCACACTCCATCTTTCCCTCTTTCCACCCCATTCTCCACGCTCCACACTCACTCCTACTTGTCCACACTCCACTGTCAGCGTCCCACACTCTGTCCCTCCATGCCCCACACTCCGTCCTTCACTCTTCCCACTCCATTCTCCCACTGCACACTCTGCTCCCAGGCCTCACTCTCATACTCCAGGGGCCACATTCAGACCTCTGGGCTCACCCCCTCCTCCATGCTCAGCTCTCTGTCCTGCAGGCTCCACATTTCATTCTCCAGGCTCGCACTCCCCTGCGTGCCCCACACTCTGTCTTCCATCCCCCACACTCCAGTGGCAGCTCCACACTCCATTCTTTGTGAACCACGCTCCATCTTCCAGGCTCCAGACTCTACATTCCCTCCTGGAGGCTCCACACTCTGTCCTCCATGCTGCACACTCTGACCTTCAGTCTCCACACTCCATCCCCCATGCTCCACACTCTCTCCTGCATGCTTCCAACTCAATCTCTAGGCTTCACATTTCTTCCTCCAGACTCCAAATTCCATCTGCCTGGCTGTGCCCTCTCTTCCATGTCATATATGCCATCCTTCAGGTCTCATTCTCTGCCCACCATGCTCCACCATTCATTTTCCTTGATACACACTATCTTCCTTCCTCTCCACTCCGTTTTCCAGGTTCCACACTCCATCTATTATGCTCCACATTCAATCCTGCCTGATACCCATTAATCCTCCATGTCCCATACTCCTCCTCCAGGCCCTACCCTCCTCCATGCCCCTCACTCCATTCACATGGATTCACATACCATCCCCATTGCCCACACCCTGTGCTCCACACTCCACATTCTATGTCTGGGTTTCCGCACTCCATTCTCCTGGCTTTGCCTTCTGTTCTACGTGCCCCCACTCAGCACTCCAGGCCTCACACGATCCTGAACATTGCATATGGCATGGCCCATGCTCCACACTCTGTCCTCCAGCTTCCAGACCCTCCCACATTCCCCACACTCTATCCTTCAGTCTCCACTTCAGGCTCTACTCTTCAAGTCTGTCTTCCATCCTTTCCACTCCATCCTCCATGTGCACACTGTCCTCCACGCCTCACAGTCCACCCTTCGTGCTCCACACTCTGTCCTCCAGGTCCACACTTTGTCCTTCATGTCTGAACTTTATCCTCCAGACTTCACACTCCGTTTCCCAGGCTCCAGACTCCCTCCTGGAGGCTCTGCACTCTGACTTCCAGGCTGTACATTTTGTTCTTCAGTCTCCACACTCTGTCTTCAAGGTGCACACTCCACCCTCCAGGCCCCACCTCATGTCCTACATGGTCCACAGTCTCCCAATCCCCACACTCCATCCTCCAGGCCCCACCTCATGTCCTCCATGCCCACAGTCTCCCAATCCCCACACTCCACCCTCCATGCCCCACCTCATGTCCTCCGTGGCCCACAGTCTCCCAGTCTCCACACTCCATCCTCCAGGCTCCACAGTCCATTTTTCAGGCTCTAAACACTCTTCTGTAGGTTTCCCACCATGTCCTCCATGCTGCACATTCTGTCCTTCAATCTCCACAATTGAACCTTTCCCCCCACACTTTGTCCTTCATGCACCACAATTCATCCTCCAAGTCACACACTCCATTCTCCATGTTCCACACTCCATTCTCCATGTTCCATACTCCATTCTTCATGCTCCTTACTCAGTACTCCATGCTCCACACTCTGTCCTCCATGTCCCACTTTCCATCCTCCTGTTTGTATACCCTCCTTCATGTCCCATGCTCCATTCTTCTGTCTCCACGCTCCACTCTCTATGCTCCACAATCTGTCCTCCATTCTCCACGCTTCATTCTCTCCACTCCATCCTCCATGCCCCATACTCAGTCTTCCAGGCTCTGCTCTCTGTGTTTAATGACCTACACTAACCTTGCACAATCCGCACTCCATCCTCCATGCCCAACAATCCGTCCTACGTGCTCCACACGACATCCTCCATAATCTGCACTCCTCCAGGTTCCACATTTTCAACCAAGCCCCACACTCCATCCACAGTCTCTGCACTCTGTCCTCTGTGCTCCACAATCTGTTCATCATGTTCCACAAGCCATTTTTCATGGGCCATACTCCATCCACCATGCCCCACACTCCATCCTCCAGACCCACACTCCATTTTCCAGGCTCCATACTTCCTCCTGTAGGTTCCACACTCTGTCCTCCATGATCCACATTCTGACCTTCAGTCTCCATACTGCATCCTCCATGTTCCACATTATACCCTTTAACCCCACACTTTGTCCTCCATGCCCTACACTCCATATTCCAGGATCCACACTCCATCCTTAATGCTGTACACCACATCCCACATGCTTTACACTCAATCTCTAAACTCCACACTCAGTCTTCCAT